CATACTTGGCATATGGTTGCTCCTGAAGCGAGCGTGGACTCGGGAGCGGCCCGAAGGGCCCCGGCCACCGAACTTACCGGGACTACGAGAGCCCAGCGGGCCAGCCCCCGAGCTGCCCCGGGCCAGCCTTGGCACCGCAACCGGCGAGCACCCGGCCCCCGAGCCCCGGGGCCCCCGGCCCCGGAACCCGGGCGCGGCGTAGGGAAGTCCGACCGTGTCCCTGGGCCACCGGGGCCGCATCCGGGCCCCTGCTGAGGGTACCGGGCCCAGGCCAGCCGCCGCGCGGACCCGGTCACACAGTGGGCCCGGCCGCCGACTCAGTAGCCAGGCTAGCCTCGGAGCCTGCGGCTGGCAAAGTCATGAAGACAGCGCCCGCCTCAGAGGTTCACATAAACGACTGCAATGTTGCGGTCTGGTGTGTCAGCGATGCTGGCGATGGTGCTGGGCTGGGCGATGATGGACAGGACGTGGGGGTTCATGGGAGCAAGCCATCTTCCAGTCAGCGTCATGAGAGCGAGCCATCTCCCAGTCAGCAGTGGCTGCTCATCGTTCTGCAGCATATCGCATGCTCAATCAAGTTTGGGTTCACAGCCTCGGAGCAGAGGGAGAGGGTTACTGGGCAGCCGCATGACAAGCTTGGAGGCGAACAATCTGAAGAGAGAGCTTCTGGATGCCGTCGCGAAGTTCAAGGAGCTTCAAGACCGTGATGGTAAGGTCTCTGTTGATTTTGGAGTGCGGGGAGGGGAGTTGGATTCCAAGTCAAGGGCCCCACGAAATCTAGCCGAGGACGGAGGGTTTTACAAGATTTCCAAGGACGTAGGAGAAGCTGCGGACAAGATCTTTTCTATCGTCGAAGAGCTCGGGAGGGTCAACCCGAACCCCGAGGCAACAAAACACTTTGGGACAGATCAGGGCAAAGACTGCAAGCTCCATGGAAGGTGGTGCTTGCTTTTCACCACGGCAGCGGACGCAACTTTCAGCACCAAGTCGAAGAGAGGAGATGCGAGAGCTTCGAACGAGGTCGATGCTGTGGCGGGGAAAGTCATGAACATCATCGAGTTCTCTCCTCGTCCTGACGGGAGCAAACCTGCTGTCTCCAAACTCCAGGTACGTCTTCGTGCCATGGCTCTGTCTCCGACGAGGGTCGGCCTTCAGTTCAAGTACGTCAAGGCGAGTCTGCAAAGGCTCTTTGGCTTCGAGCTCCCGGGACGGGGGCTCCCACTCTGGTTTCCTGTGCCCGGGCCAACGTTGACACGCCTCCTATTCTTCTTCCGCAAGGTGAAGGACGTTCCCAAGGCCTTCTTCGACGTGATCTACCTCGACGACCAGCTCAGAATCCATCGGACGGGGGAGGGGAATTTGTTTGTTCAGGTCCGGCCTGACTGGAAGGAAGGGATGGCCATTACTATGAGATGACCCGCCTAAAATGGCGCGTTTGTGTAACTTTTTCGGCATCACAATGAATTTTTGCCCTTTACTTTCCAGCTTGCTTTGCCTCATCAAGTGCTTGTGATACCCACCCACGGAAAGAGACAGGAGCAGTCCCTGTCACCTTCAGCACGTTGTCGTTGTACACGTCGAACCCTCCTGCTCTCAGGAACCGCCACAGGGACCTGAAACAAGTCCAAGCGTGAGCTGTAAAAGCACACCGGCTGTTGTCATCAGCACCTGTAGTCTTGACTTGCTGGCAGTTCTTGTTCAACATATTCCACTGGCTTCCCCATCAACTGCAGGAGAGTCACTTTCAACCCCGCATCTCCTCAGCCACCTCAGTCAACAAGTTCTGCATGTCGACCGCCCCGAGGCAGTTCTCCTGCCTTCAGCATCAACAGCCTTGTCTCACACAACCTTCACCCACAGCTGGCCCGGTGATGTCCAGAACTTTTCCATCCCACTGCAGCAACAGCATCAGGGCCTTTGGTTTCGGTTTCTCCCTACAGCCTTTTGAACCACCTCGTGGTGCGTCAGGGCACGCGCGGAGACGTTCCCTATGTCGGTCAAGCTGATCCAGTTGACCTTGGCTGACTTTCCGAGGGGAGAGGAGAAACGCGAGTGTTGCAGGATACCAGGCTGGTGGAGCAAGTGAGGGGGAGGAAGAGGGGGGGGATGGATGGCAAGGTCGAGGAGGCAAGGAGGGAAAGGGAGGCAGGGAAGAGAAGGCAGGGGAGAAGACGAGGCAAGGGGGAGGAGGTGGAGAACGACGGAGTTGAGTTGAAGGGGGGGGGCGGAGAGAGAGATGAAGAAGGTAAATTTCGAGCTCGACCAAGTCGTAGTTGAAGTTTGTGAAGAATGAAGTTGGACGGATGGAGGTAACAATCAGCCCGATGCTTTTGATGTGCTCCTCGCATGCTACATGTGAATTTCCCAGTGGACCCTGGCAAGAAGCAGAGAGGCGTGAGTTGAGACGAGGATAGAGAGCGAGAGGTGGGGGATGAAAGAGGAGGGTAAACCTGGTCCTCAAGGAAAGGTGTTGACATTGAGTCGATTCCAAGGGAAGAAATTCTCACGATCTACAAGAGCAGAGTCAACGTTCTCATCCGACTTTTCTCCGCGTGTCTCTTCATGTCAGTGGGATCAGCGTTAGTTCGTCAACTCAGCATACCAACTTCACTCCGCAGGCTTTCGCTACGTCGGCTATGCCATTCCCTACCGACACCTGAGCCCATTCCATGAGCAGCTGCCTCCTCCCCCAAGACCTGGGGCAGCTCTACACCATCTGCTCGGCAGGCAGCGCTTGTGGGAGGGCGACGAAGACTCGCTGCACATCTCTGAAAGCTTCCACCAAGCTGGAGGGGTTGCAGCTGTCAGCTTCAAACCTGCAGCACCAGCGGTCAGCCCTGGCTCTACTCTCACTTGTCAAACTCACAACTTGACGCCTGGTAAGCCGCCGAGAGCTCTGGCCTTGCTCGAGTTGACGTCCCTCGTGATGACGCTGCATGGCGGTCAAAGCTGCCTCAGCATACCCTGAATTCCCTACCGGATCTCCGACGGAGCAGAAGCATCTTTACTATCTACAAGCTTGGACAAGCAGCTCACCACGCACGAGCCGCAATTCCCCGTCGCGTTCACAATCTGTCAGCTCATTCAACATGTGCTAGCAGATGTCTGCTTGACTTCACCGCAAGCGCTTGTCCT